TCAACCGCTCATGTGCATGGCTTGATGGTATGTAATACCACCTTTATGATTCATAGTACTGAATCATAATCCACCACACTGACTACATACACAGACATGTTAGTTTGGTTCAGGACACTCAGACTCAGACAATGACAGACTCTGCGTCTCCCCTGAAATGGTCTTGACTCTGCATTTTGACTTGCACACTGTGTTATAAGCATATTATCCAATTCACAAGCAGCCCAAACTGTCTATAAGCATATTATACAATTGTAAAACAACTCACCCTCTCTATAAGCATATCTATCAGATTCATTCAGTCCAACAATGGGTAAATACCTATGAGAGATCACCCAATGCGGACTTTTGACCTTATTACATGTTGCGAAAGTCAAATAACACCTTGTAGACATCAAATACCAGCTTGTAAACACCAAAAATCCGCCAAAAATGGCTTTTATACATGTTGTAAACATTCATTACACCTTGTAGACATCAAAAACCACCTTGGGAACACCAAAAGTCTAGCAACTACCTGTTTATGCAGACGTTTGGCCTTATTACATGTTGTAAACATCAAATAACACCTTGTAAGCACCAAATACCACCTTGTAAAACATCAAAAACCACCTTGTAAACATCAAAACAACCTTGTAAACAGCAAAAACCACCTTGTAAACACCAAAAGTCTGCCAACTACCTGTCTATGCGGACTTTTGGCCTTATTACATGCTTGTAAACATTAAACAACACCCTGTAAACATCAAATTGGAGCTTGTAAGCACCAAAAGTCCGCCGAAAATGGTTTTTGGCGGACTTTTGGCCTTGTTACATGTTGTAAACATCCAACAACATCTGTAGACATCAAATGAAGCATTTTAGACATCAAATAAGACCCTGTGGACATCAAATAACACAATTCAAACACCAGGAGTCCGCCGAAAATGGTTTTTCGGCGGACTGTTGACCACATTACACACTGTAAGCATCCAATAAGACCTTGTAGTCATTAAATAATACAATTTGAACATGAAAGGTCCGCCGAAAATGGTTTTTCGGCGGACTGTTGACCGCATTACGCACTGTAAGTATCCAATAAGACCTTGTAGACATTAAGTGATACCATTTGAATATGAAAGGTCCGCCGAAAATGCATTTTCGGCGGACTATGCCTTGAGGTGCGCCCCGGTTTTTGGGGCTCGGGGCTCGCGGCAGTTTGACCGGGGCGCACCTCACCAAAATGCGCCCCGTGCGCCCCTGCCCTGAGGCCTCGAAGCAGGGAGGCGGTAGCTAGGCCATTGAATTTTGCGCTTGAAATCACCTTTATCATCAATAAATTCTCTAAGAATACTGAATAAATGATGGTCTAATCTACTCCAGGACCTTTGATAAAAGACATGAGGCTCAGATTTTGAGGCTTGATTTCTTCTTTGAGCTAAAACACTAGACATGTGAATCAATAATGCTGCATCTGTCATTCTCTGCTCCTTATACCAAACCCAGACATGGAATAAACCAGATGTACCAAACATAAGAAAAAGCGCCAGAGCCTGAATAGCTTGCCTTCTGAAGCTGAAAGTTTCTTCACTTGCTGCAGTTTGAATTTCTTTATCTGTGACCTTAGCTAAAGCTTCACTATTAGGAACTTGATTCTTTTTAACACCAGGTAAAGCCTTGATGGGATTTTTACGAATATAATCTGTTGAGAGCTGATTTAGAACTGACCCCTTAAGTACATTTCTTCTAGCAGCAATTTGATTGGGAGTTCTTTTAACCTTGCAGTATACTTTCAGCTGTCTGTTATATACATCCCTCTCATAAATCAACATCACCCCAGTGAGAACCAATAAAAACCGCTTCTGAAGCCAACTGATACCTAAAGGATGTACTTTACTCGATTTGACCTCCTGTTCCTCCACAGTTTTCATCATACACTGCTGCCAAGCCCAGGCAATACTCTGAGACATGGGTACCATGCTAGCATGGACCTTATGCTCACCCACAGTTTTGATTTCAATATTTTCTGATTTAGCGTTATAAGATATTAATTCCACACTCTCCTCAAAGATCCTGTGAATCGTCTTGTGTGCGGTCCGCAATTTGTTTTTGATGTCTTTTTCTGCAGTCCAAATCGGCGATTTCGAGGTTCGACACGCCATTGAATGAAAAGCTCGAAATATTCTGTGGCGAGAATCCCAAGGGTATCTAGTAGATTCCATAATCAAGGGCCACCTGAGCGAAGACTCTGTGAGATAAGGATTGGTGGCCGCGACCTGCAGCAGGCGAGGACCTAGAAAAAAAGGCGAAAGTCAGTGAAGATTCTCGAACTCAAGTTGAATGACAAGCGGAGGACTTACAGGTCTGGATTTTCTTGGGAGTATCCTTCTCACGGACTTTTCTCTGCATCAAGACCACCAGAGGCTGGAGTGTCTCATGGGTCGGCTGACCTAATTGACTATTTTCATGATATTTCCAACAGCTAATTACTCCTATGACAGACTCCTTCAAAGCGTCGCCCCAATCAAACTGATTCGAATTGAGGGTCGTAGCAGCCGAGCGCAGGAATTTGATCTCATCAGGTGAGGGACTTTCAATAAGTTCTGCGATGCATAAACGTGCGAGTCAGTAAGTAAGTAATGAAAACGAATGTCCGCCGAAAAGTGAAAGCCGGCGGGCTTTATATAGAAGATCGGAGAGATGGAGGCTTGACAAGACCTGATAGAGTAAGAAAAGTCCGCCGAAAAACGAACTTTGGCGGGCTTTTCATCATCTGGTCAAGTAGCTGAAGAGAAACAAGGATAGGAAGGACGCAGGAGGGTGGAAGAAGATAATGAAAGTCCGCCGAGATTCGTTTTTCGGCGGACTTTCATTATAATTGGAATGATGACTTACTACTGACGTCCAGAATGGACTCCGCGTTATGGAAAACCGAGGTGAGGGAGATGGGAAGCTCCTCGAGAGGAGGCGCTGCCTCTCGGGAATTGTCCTTAGCGACTCCTTTACCTTTCTTCACCAAATCCTTGGCGTCTACCGTTGCACCTTGAACCGCATCAGGTCCTAGGATCTCTTCCTCCTCCTCACTTTCGTTGTCACTCTTGTCAGAACCTTCACAGGAGTCTCCGTCGTCGTATACAAACTCGGCGCTCTTGTACTCTGTCTTTCTTCGTTTCTTCTTTCCGCCACAACCTTCCTCCTGTACCTCTTTTTCACTAACCCCTGCCTCCAAGTCTAAGTACCTCTTAACGGACTTCGCTCGACCTGTAGAGAGAAAGGACCTTCAGCCATCTTTGTGACGCTCTAGCAAATGTGATGTTGGACTTACTTGACGCACTACCCACACTACTTTTAGCTTTGACCCCCGATGGAGCAATGGCTGGCATGGGGTGCTGGAATGGTATGATCTCGATCTCGTCTTGCCCTTCCGTGATCGCTTCGTTAAGCCGTCGCTCCCTCTTCTTCAAGCTCTGATCGGAGATGGAGAGAGCCGTCATCATCCACTCGAGTTCACCGTTGAAATCAACCGCGTTGTCTTCATCTTTGGTGCTTTCCTTGAACTCCTCATACGCTTTGAGGGAAGCTTCGTGAATGGCTTTGACTGAAGGGGGGTGAGTCATTATTAGTACCGTGATTTACATAAGTCCTACAGCCGAAACTCACATCGTTGATACCTGCTCAGCGCACTGACAACCTTCATCTTTCTACCCGATTGTGAAGATTCTAATTCCTGAGTACAGACATACAAGACATAAAGATAAGTTAGTAAGCACGTAATCGATGATGACCATCAAATATAGGATGTGAGAGGGAGGTGAATGGAAGGATATGAAATATATATGAAAGTCCGCCGAGAATGAAAAGTCGGCGGACTTTAACTTCGTGTGAAATTAGAGTGGAAAAGGGAATAAAAAGTCCGCCGAGATTTACTTTTTGGCGGACTTTGTAGTGCTTCATAGAAACAGCATCAATATAATGAAAGTCCGCCGAGAATGAAATCTCGGCGGACTTTGGGTTGAGGTGTTGTGGAGAAAGTGTATTGGGGGTAATAGATATTGGTGCTTACCTCAGATCCCGCTTTCTTCACCTTGTGAAACTTCACCTCCTTCAACTTCTCCTGAGCAGATTGTGGAGCTGTGCCACTGGCTTGCGGAGTCGACTTAACAAAATTCACCATCAGTTGCATTTCTGGGTATGAGATTCATCTTCCTTTACTTACTACATCTTCTCCCTCAGCACCTGCCTCAACCTCCAATTCCATATCTTCTGCTGGCAATTCGACTTCGAAATCGGACTGCTTGATATAAAGTTTAGTTAGTGGAAGACTTGATAGGTGGTATATAATCTCACCAGCTCAACCTCAATGTCACAGTCATCCTCAGCCATATCATCAACTGGTCCTTGTCCACCTCCGCTTTGGTCATTCTTTTCATTCAACTCCAGTTGAGGGTCGATTACCTGAAGTGACAGAGTAAGAGTTTAAGTAATGAACTTTGAATTGGAAATTTGGTCTCTGGGGCTTACCTTGTCAGTTGATGTGGGTGTAACCAAGTGATCAGGGGATTGGGAGTGTTCTCTTTGCTGTCAGGGATGAGTTTCGAAATATTGAGTACACTCGCATTTCAAGCTTCTATGCCTGCAAGAACTTACTGTGGACATATTCTGAAGGAACACAAAATCGATCAATTAATGTAGTGGAGGTGTCTGCTGGTGGGATGGGTATTTGTACTCACTGGAGTTGGAATTATTGCTAATGGTGGTGGGTACTGTATTGCTTGATGCTGAGCTGAGAGGATGAAGGGCTGATTTGAATTTGTTGATAATGAAATGGATGAATCAAGATTCTAAGAGGTTGAAATCGAAGTGAAAGTGGGAAGTTGAGGTTTGATGACTCCCTTTTAAATCAGAATCACCTCATCTTCGCACTGGTCAACTTGTGGTTGATTGGCACATGTCATGTTGTAGACATTGCATGGGCAAGTGTAGAGGGCCTGTCACATGTGTGACATGATCACTTCGAAAAAGGTTACACCTGGGACTCGAACCCAGGGCCTCTGTCTGTCTTGCACTACAGTCAACTGTGCTAACCATTGGACTATAGTCCCTGTGCTACTAGGAATGGTCAATAGATCATAACACCTACTGCTATCCCTACAGGTCGAATTGCTGACTTAACACCCTCTTCTCAGATCATCAATCAACTGCACTCATTATTTCATGTGCTGCATGTTGCACATTGCATGGATTATATCACATTGTCATTCTTCTTGTGCCTGCCACGGCTACTGCTTTGGGATGGGAAGTGATGCAATTCTGCAACTATTTCATAAACTTATTCCTTGTGTGGATGTCTGTCGGAGCTTAATGGTGCACACCTGGTTGACGGGCTGTGAGATGTCCTCAATTTGGTGTGCAAATGACGTACGCTTGACTGCGTAGGGGGTTGATGGCGTCAAAGTGCTTGGTCCGCTTGACTTAAAGGTTCTTGTAATATTGGGTGCAATCATATCAAAAAGGGCTGGTGGTTTGCTGGAAAGTCCGCCCAGATGCAAAATTCGGCGGACTTTCCTTTTTTTAAATAACTGCGTTGTGGTTGTACTGTCCATATTCAACCCAGCCGTGTAATGGTTTACTAAAAGACCGCTGAAAACGCATTTTCGGCGGACTTTTTTTCCGGTGCACCCCAATATTTAGGGGCTCAAGGCTCGTGGCAGAATTATTGGGGTGCACCCACCTAATTGCACCCCAATGCACCCCAACCTTGAGACCTCATGGCCCCCGGGCGGTAGCTAGGGGCTCCGGGCGCCGGGAGAGAGGTCCGTACGGTCCCCCACCAAAAACCGTACGGTCCGCACGCTCCCAGAGGGCTCCGGGACTCCGTCCGGTAGCTAGGTCTCAACTCAACTCTTGGGTTGACTCACCATCTTGTGTTGACTATGACTCACATTAACTTGTCTCTTGGTATCCACTGTTGTGCACAACTGGTTTTGACCCACTGAATCCACTTAACCTGACATTACCCCTCTGTGTTGGCTCAACTCTCCCTCTCGTCATTTCCTCAAATCTGTGTTTTGTCTTCACTTGACTCTTTGCGACCACTTGCTCTAACCCCTGTTATGCCTGGGGCCTCCATTTTCCTTGGGCCTCTGTGATGTCTTTGGGTGTACATTTGTCTCCAACCTCTGTATGCCTTGGGACTGTGCGCCGTCCTGGGCCTACGTTTCTCTCAGCTCTCTGCATGTCTTTGGGGCTACAATTCTTGGCCCTCTTGTGACATGCCTTGACTCTGATGGGTCATTGTGCCTTGACTTGACTCATGGTCTCAACTCAACTCTTCATATTGAGTGCACACTTGATCTACATTTGGCTGATCTCGGTAACTCGGATATTGGTCTTGGTCTCAACCCTACTTTTTTGCCCAACATTTGTCCTTGGGTCAAATTTCACCCTTGGTCTTTACTCACCTTGTGTCTGGGTGATGACTTTGTTCTCTGCCTGGACTTGGTTTGGTTACAATCTTGCTCTACACTTGCCTTTTGTTCTTGACTTGGATATTGGTCTTGGACTGGCCTTGAGTCAAGTTGATCTACCGAATTTCTCCTTGGCCCTCCGTTCAATTTGTCCTCCACTGGCTCTGGAAGCCTCCTGTTGCTCAACCTCTTTTGCTTTTGGCTTTCTGTTATAGTTGGTCCTCCATCACTTGGCCCTCTGGTGACTTTGCCCCTCGGTTGTCTTTCCGCCTCCATTATTTGGTCCTCCGTATTCCTTGCCCATTGGTTTCTTTGGGCATATCATTCTTTGGCTGTCTGTTGTCTTTGGTCTTTGTTTTGGCCCTTCATCCCCTGTATTCATCTACCTTTTGGTTTCCCCTGACCTCCATGACCTTTGACATGTGTTCCATTCCCGGTACAATCTCTTTGGTCCCCTGCTCACTTGGACCCTATGTTTAATATTTGGCCCTCCATCTTTGGCTCTCTGTTGTCTTTGGTACCATGTCATTTCTGCCCTCCATCACCTCTGGTGCCCCACTGTCTTTGGACTTCTGTATTTCTTGGGTCTTCATATTCTTGTGGTCTCCAATGCTTTGGATCTCCGTCTCCAACGCTACTCCATCTCCTCTTGCCCTGCGTTGTCTCTGGCCATCCTTTGGGCCTTGCTTGACTTTGGTCCTATGTCTGCTTTGGACCTCCGTATCCTTCAGCCCCTCATATTCCTTGGTTCTATGTATTCATCCTCCCATTGACTTTCTTGGCCTTCAGTGTCCTTGGATCCCTCTGTCTATATTGGAATTGGGTCACTTTTCCCCCACATCATATTGGACACTCTCTTCTTTTGGGTCCTCCATGTCATTGTGCCCCATGTCTCATACTTGGCTTTGCATGTTCCGGGTTCTCACTTCCATGTTCTGTTATTGGACCTCTGTTGTCTTTGCCCCATTGTATATTTGGGGCCACTCGTTCACCCCTCAGTTGTCCTTGGTCCTGTTCAAATTTTGGATCTATGTGGCTTCTGGTTATTGATTCCTTTGTCACCTCTGGAGCTCTGCGGTCTGTGGAACTCTGTATTACTTGGCCCTCCACATTATTTTGGCCCCTGAACCTTTGGCTATACGTTATCTTTGGTCCTGCCTTTGGCACTCTGTCTCCTCTGGCCTCCTGTTCCTTTGGTCCTCCCTTTTCCTCTCTGTGGGCCCACCATTGTCTTGGGCCCTCTGTCACCTTTGGCGCTCCCCTGTGATTGCAACCTCATATTCCTTGAACCTCCATAATCTTTGGGTCCCCATTCTTTTGGATTTCCGTCCCCACTAGTACTCCATCTCCTCGTGCCCTGTGTTCTCTTTGGCCCTCCCTTTCCTTCGGTCCTACGCCTGCTTTGAACCTTTGTTCTTTTTTGCCCTCTGTATTCTTTGGCTTTTTGTTTTTCCCCACCCTCCATGTCCTTGGACACGGTCTGTATTTGACTTGTGTCACTTTTGTCCCTACATCCTCTTTGATACTCCAATGTCTTTTCCCCTACGTTTCAACTTTGGCTCCTTGGTTAGCTTTGGCCCTTGTGTTACGTTTTTTTTGGGCCCCCGTACTCTTGGCTCCCGCCACTCGATTTCTTTGATTTGAACCTTCATATCTTTTGGGCCTCTGTCTGCTTCTGACCTTTATTGCCTTTGGCCCTCCGTTTCCTTCAGTCTTCTGTTCTCTATGGTACCCTGCATTCTGGGGTCAACCCTACCCTACGTCTTCATATATCCTCAGCCTCCATTGGCCCTATGTGGACTTTGCAGTCCTCACTCAATGTCTACTCCACCCTTGGTGTCCCTCCTCAACTTTTGGTGCCAACTGTCCATCCCAAATCATGGCCTCCACTCAACTCTCAGCTGGTATTGACATAACTGTGTTATCAACTTCCTGTGTGTCAACATTACTATTGGTGTTCACTCTGCGTCTTGACTTCAATCTCACTCCACATCATGACTTTACCAACTTGCCTCTTGGTCTCTAGTGGTGTGCACAACTGGTTGTCACCCACTGACTTGACTTGCCTCAACATGCCTTGACTCTACCTCTGTGTCCCCACTTGACTCTCCCTCTCCCCATTTCCTCAAATCTGTGAGTTGTCTTCACTTGACTCTTGGCCTCCACTTGCTCTAACATCTGTGTTGTCTTGGACCACCGTATCTCTTTGGGGCTTTGTGTTGTCTTGACCCACCATATGCCTTTGGCCCTCGGTATGTCTTTTGGTCGGCGTTGGTTTTGGCCAACACTTCCACCCACTTTCAACCTCTGTGTCTCCACATTGACTATGTGTCTTGACTTGACTGTTGCTCTTGACCATGCGTGTTGACTCCACTGCTTGGTCTTGACTAGACTTGACTCTTGGCCTTGACTTGCCTTGAGTGTTGGAGTCAACTATGTGTCTTGGTGGCCATCTGGCTTGTGCCTGACACAGCCTCTCAAATCTGTGTCTCACCTCAACTGTGCCACTTCTCCCATGTGTTTTGTCTTGACTTTTAGTCTCAACTCTGGATCTTGACCTATGTTCTTGACTCTCAGCCTCCACTCTTGGTGTCCCATTTTGGTCTTGACTGTGCTTCTGCAGCTGCTCTCAACTCTGTGTCTTTTGTCTTTACTTTTGCTCTCAACTCTTAGTCTTGACTCCTGGTCCTAACTTTGGCCCCCACTTTTGCTCTTACCCTGAATTGACTCTGTGACTTGACCGCTGGCCTCAACCCGTGCTCTCAACTTGAGTTGACTCTTGGTGTTGCATTTTGGCCCTCATTATGTGTCTCCGTCTTGCTCTCAACTCTTGGGCTGCACATGCCTTTTGGTCTTCAGTCAAGTAATGGGTGCTGCTAGACATGCTGTGTCACAAGTCAACACTTTGTCCTGACTGGGCGTTAGTGTCTGCGAAAGTGTCCCAGTCTGGACACTTTGTCTTCACTCAACTGTCACACTTGACTTGGTCTCAACTTGTCTGCTTGTAAAAACAAGAGTTCCTGTGTCTATACTCTTGCTCTTGACTAGACTGGGTTTGTCTCAGTCTCAAAAGTTGGTCTCGACTCATTGTGTCTACTATTGGGCTCTAGTCTTGTAATCATATTTGCAGTAGATCTTGACTGCAATTAACTCATTATGTGACTTGGTTTTGGATCTGTGTGTCAAATATGTGTCTCTGGCTCCCTCCTTGTGTCTCCACTCTTTTTCTCCACTGGAGTGGCTGTGTTGTCAACTGGTTGTCTCAACTCTTGTTCTTGTTCTTGAATTTTGGTCTTGACGATTTGTCCTCACTTGACTCACTGTTGGTCAACTTGACGTAACGTGTCAAACCCTGCTTTCAACCTGTGGTCTCTGTCCTCTGTCTCTCCGTCAGTCTCTACTTGACTCTTGGTCTTGACTGCACTTGCTGTGACCCACCTTGCTGCATCTCAACTCCTGATCTCAACCACACTTGCCCCTTGGTCTTCACTCCTTGTGTATGAGCAGCATTTCAGCTTTGGCTCTGACCCTTGACTCCACTTTGATGTGTCTTGACTTGAATCTTGGTGTTGACTCTGCGTCTCCACCCTGACTTGACTATGCCTTTACACCTGACTCTGCATCTTGACTTGACT